TCTTAGGCTAAACTTAATTTCTTACCAAAACCAAAACCAGTAGATGAGGGTCTGAACTGGATTATACCATTTCAGACCTCAGCTGGGGGCTCCTGTGATTAAATGCTCCTAAGTATAAATGCAAGAATAAAAATTCAGCATACATAAAAAAGAGGAAGTTTTATCTCCTTCCTCTAACATATGGATTTGTGTTTTTGTTTGTTTGTTTGTTTTTAATTTGGAGACTACTTGTAGACGTTTTATGAAAAAACACAGAACCAGGAGGGGGAACCTGTGGCCCTCCAGTTGTTGCTGGACTACAACTCCCATCAGCCTCAGCCAGCATGGACAATGTTGGTGGATTCTGTAGTTCATCACCTGAATAAAAACCAGGCCCTAGGACTGGGACTGTACAATCCACCAGCCACATTAAGTCCTCAGTCTAATGTCACATGAAATGGCACAGAGAGAAAAAGGAAAGAAGTGGGAGACTAGCAGCCTCTTGTTTTGCTCCTAAGAATACACTAAACTTATCCTACAACCACTTTTCTCCACATTGTCTGAGGATGGTGGGAACTCTGTTCCTGCCCATCTTGCAGGGACATGGTTCAGCAAGGCTTTTTCAAAACATTTATAATAATAAAAATTCAAGAAAACACCTGTATGAGACCAAAAAAAGAAGAAAAGAAAAAAAATTATTCCTTTTACTAAGCTGGTAATCTACAGACTTAAATTGCAGAGGAATGCAAGATACCAGATCTCAGTATGCACTGAAAAAGAAAACCCTCAATGCAGCAATAAAATAACACCCAAGAAGCAACAAGACAGATCTCCCTTGGTTAGGAATTTCAGCCCCAAAGTATAATTGCAAAAAAGGCCCGGTCCTACCTGACAAAGATCAAAGTTTGAAGAAGGCCTCCTACGACTAAATCCTATCATGCCAATTTTAATTTTGCCTTCTCTTGAAAAAAGACAAGGGGGTCAGAGTAGCAGGCAAACATGAAATGCAGAAATATGCTCTGATCCTGTGTGCATAATTGCATTCCAATATCTCTATATCCAGCAGAATTCTCACTTGAAGATATGAACAAAGATTAAAAATTCCATGTGTCCATTAAATTCTATGCACTAAAGTTACACCTCTGGAAAAAGATTTGTTACCAAAAATCCTGATTTATGAGTCAGGATGTGAATCTGAAGCAATGGGTCTTTTCCTCCTCTGGAAAAAGATTTGTCTTTTCCTATTCAACCTCCCCCACACAAAAAATTAGAGTCGGGAATTCTCTCCCACCTCTCCCACCCCATTTTTCTTCAGACCCGTACATCTCTATTTGTAGGCAGGCCACAATTTAACAGCTGGCAGACTGTGAGTTTTAAAAATCTGTTCCTAATAAAATCTAGATTTGATGAGCTCTTAGTCAAAATAAACATTATGCCTGAAATTTATTGTGTGTGTGTGTGTGGGGGGGGGGAATGGAAGCAATGTTTGTTTTGAATGTTCCTAATAAAATCTAGATTTGATGAGCTCCAAGTCAAAATAAACATTCTGCCTGAAATTTATTGGGGGGGAGGGACTGGAAGCAATGTTTGTTTTGAATATATGACCTTTCACAAATTTAACTTGTTTCCACCTAACCAGCAATTTTTTTTCATGAATTAAGCTCGTAGGATAGTTATTTTCTTTATAGCCAAAGTCCTAAAAGAGATGTCACCCTATCACACCTCAGCTATATAAATCCCTGTCCAGAGACAGACACAGCACTGTGGTTTTGATCCTGTCACGACGCCAACTGAGGGAACAGCAACAACAGCCAACCAGGAATCATAAAACTGACTTAACTGCAAACTACGGTGGGGAGGGGTGGAGGACACCTCTATTCACAGCAATCAGCTTTCTGAGTTTCTATCTCACATACCTTCCAGAGTCACCACTACAGAAATCACAGCACCAGCCTAGTCACATGACTACTTTCTAAAGTGCCCAGAGTTCAGGAACATTAATTTTGGGGACTACAACTCCCAGAACTCCCTGTGCAGGTGGGGGAATTTGGGGGGTTGTAGTCTCAAAAAAGTAACTGTTTCATTCCATTTCAGATCTTAAACCATGGTGCTGGTGCTCAATCCACTTGTCTGTAGTTGGGAAGATGAGAACAGAAAGGTTACATTCCTGTCTCAGAGCAGAAGGGAGAAATATGAAGCCCTTCGGCATCTGGCGGACTCCAACTCCCATCAGCCACAGTCAGCATAGCCAATGGTCATGGATAGCATGAGTTGCCACCCAACAATATATGGAGAACAACTAGCTATGTGCCCCTGAAGGCCACAACCTTCCCCAACATGGCCTCTTTCTGGAATCTTGGACTACAAGTTCCAACAACTTCCTAGGATGAGAAGAATTTTCATTCAACACAAGCCACGCTGCTTTAGGAAGCAAGGGCCTCAACTTTGGGCATGAGACTCAACACTCAACAAACCAATAAATGCTTTGTTATAATTCCTACAAAGTTATTTTTTTTATTTTTATTTAAAATATTTATATGCTGCCTTTCTGTTAATAGATCCAAGGCAGCTTACAGTATTAAAAAAAAGTTAAAAGCGAAACAATAAATGATTAAAATATCAAAAAGCATTCAACAAATATCCTATTAAAATTCACAAATAAGAGCAATATTAAAAACTCAGGCAAAACAGAATAAAACAATCCCTTTTTTAAATCCCTTTGGTGAATCAGTCATTTAAGGAAAGCCCACCTGAAGAGAAAGGTCTTTGCCTGCATGCGGAAGGGCAGCAAAGATGGGGCCAGTCTGGCCTCCTATGGGAGGGAGTTCCAGAGTCTGGGAGCAGCGACAGAGAAGGCCCTCTCCCATACCCCCAACAAATGCACCTGTGAAGGCGGTGGAACTGAGAGAAAGGCTCATACAGGGAGATATGGCATTTAGATAGCTTAGACGCAAGCTGTGCAATGTACCACAACAACAGCTAAACTGAGGGGGAAAATGTCAATATGGTTTGCTATTCAAAGTGTTAGCACCTTCCTGACATGTTACCAGGTTACATCAGGACCTGAAAACAGAAGCATAACCAGGATAGTGAATCCAGAGCTTTGCTCCAAAGCACCAAAATTTAGAGTAGACCACAATCTACAGAATGTTAGGACAATAAACAGCAGCAGCACCTGGTCTTATTGGGTTTAAGAGAATGAACATTCTTTTCTTTTAGAGGGGCATCATATTCTCCTGTCTCTTAGGAGGCTCATGCTCATGTGTCAGAGTAGAGAGGGTAGGCGATGGTGCTGATGGAGCCAGGTGCCAACCTTGCTTGTTATGGCCCTGTCTGAAAACTCTTAAATCCTCTAGGGAAGGTTGATGCATTCAAGTAAATAATCTTAGAGGGTCCTGAATACAATTTGGGGTTTCGAACATTCCACTAGCTACATACCAGGCTATACTGAAAAGAAACCAGACTGCCTCCCTCTTTCTTTCCATCCTCCAAGCCTATTAATTGCTGCCCACGTCTGTGTCAGTGTAAACTTAACTACCTCAAGAAAAAAGCGCCATAGCAAAGGACTATTTTTTAAAGCCGAAAGGTAAACACTGAGTTTGGAGGCCCCACCAAGTTGCAGCCTTTGGACTGCCCGGCTTCCTGAGCCACAATGCAACTTTCCCCAAATGCCCCCCCCCAACTAGGCCTTTTGAGATAGTTGTGCAAACAGAAGCTTCCTGTCGCTTCTGTGGTTGGCGAAGCACCAGCACCCAGTTTAGTCATCAGCCTCGCAGGGCACTAAGAAAGGTCAGCTGTCTGTGACATCACTTCCATAGGCGGGTCAAGGGTGCAAATGCTCACAACTTGCTGGCAAGCAAACAAGCAAATGGTTTTAACAATAAAAAAATTACAATTGGAAATACAGTTTCTGCCTAAAAATATATATATACACTGTGTTAGTCCACCAGATACAGCAAGCAATGTCAGGAGCCAAAGAAAACAAAACAAAAGTTTCCCCACTTCTTCTTCACTTTTGACACCACACATCATCCCAGCAGGCATAATTGTCAGTAAGAAAGCCACAACGAAGGGTCAAGCTGCCTACACACACACACACACAACGTCAGGCAAGGACTCTTCCTTGCTGCATGGCAAGGGAGCGGACAAAAGAGCAAAGGCACCCAAACCACCGGAGGTCACCCCTAGCTGCCCATTCTTCACCCACGAGGGCTGCCACCTGACCGCCCAGGCCTGCAGGGCCCGCCATTCCTTGAAGAGAAAGAGCAGCAGTGATTCCTTCTATGCTTCGGGACAACCGGGGGCCTTTCTCTCCCCCCCCTCCTGCACCACCCACCTATATATAATCCAGTAACTTTCCCCCGTTCCTTGTTTCTGTCTTTGCAAAGTTCCCCATATTCAGAAAACAACAACTCAGGAGCCCGGCAGGCACCCCTGGTCAGCCTGTGGGAGCTACTGGGAGGGCAACCCCCCCCCCGTTCTTCTTCCAGACTCGGTCCCTCTCAGCCGACAGCTGGGGAAGCCCCACGACTGCCCTCGCCTCCGCCCACGGTGCTGCCCACTTCCTCCACATCTATGCTTGCACACTTCCTGGCTCCACCGGCTCCCCGGACATAAGCCTCTTGCCTGCGCCCGCAGCAGCTCCAGGCCGGAAGGCTCGGCACAATCCCGGACCCTGTCAGCGCACACGGTGGCCCTTTTTGCGGCTGGCGGTCTGCCCGACCTGCCCGGGTCTCTCTGCTAACTCGCTCCAGGCGTTTCTTCTTCCCGTCCCATCAAAGCCCCGAGAACAAATGGGGAAAGGCTTCTTCTTCCTGCCCCAAAAGTGTCAGCAGCACACACGAAAACGGATTAAAATGCCTCTTTCAGCTCATCCCAAATGCATGGTATAGGGAGGGATGGGGGAAAGGGAAGGGAGCACTCTGCACATGCTCAGAGGCAACTCCCCGCCTAAGCAAAAGCTAACCTATTGCACTTTAAAGTGCAGTCACACGCTATGCTCCCTCACCTCCTCCGCCTACCTTGCTGACCCCCCTCGGGGTCCCTCGCCCACCGTAGGAACCGAACCGACGTCTCTTCTCTTCCCGTCGCCTTGCTCCTAGCCCTGCCCCGGCCGCGGAGTGCCCGATTAGCCCCGCCCCCTCAGCCTCCGTGTCTTCGGCACCCTTCTCCACCAACCAATCCCCAGCCAGCCCGCTTCATCCATTGCCGGGGGGCGCTTCGGACAGCCAATCACGGTACGCCTCCAGTTTCATTATTCATAGGGCTGTTCCGTACTGGGCTTTCTCCTCCCGCTGCTCTGCTGGAAACCCAGCTGAGTTCCGGGCAGTGCGTGACGTCGACAGCGCCGCTGTTGTCTTCGTCTAAAAAGGAGGGGGGTGGAGAAGGAGGGTTGTATTCTTCTAAGGCTCCTAATGAGCTGCGGAGGGCACGGTTCATAGCGGTTTGCTTCCCTGGAAGATAATTGCAAGGCAATCTGTTGCAGCAAGAACAACGAAGAGCCTTGTGGCTCTTTAAAAACTAACTTGTTTTGTTTGGTACAAACTTTGGTGGATTGTGGCCAACTTTGTCAGATGAGAGTGACTCTTACTGTGCCTTAATGACTAAGAAATGTGGGTTTGTCATAAGCCTTGGTGGGCTGCATTAGTTGTATCCAATGAATTGAAGTAGGCTGAACTCCACAGGAGCCTATGGCAATGAAAACATTACTCTCTAAGGTGCCACTAGAGTTCTGTAACTCATAGTGGGCGTCCTGTGGGAGAGCCCAGGAAAGTTGGAGAGGATTAGGGTTTCTTTGGGAGAGTCGTCCCACTCTTCTTCCTCTTCATCAGCCTAGTCCTCATCAGTATGTTGCACAACCAGAGAAAGCCAGCCCTCCTGTCGCTTCCCAGTGCCTTTTCTCTGTGTGGCATAGCAATGCGAACGGGGCCCTTTACAACCTAGGAAAGGATACCCAGCTGCTTGAGTTCTCTTCAGGTGGCTAAGCAAGGGCACAGGATTTGCTGCTGGGCCCAGGCGCTGCCACGGTGTCGTCCTGAGGAACTATGCGGGGAATGGAACCTGCTTTTTGTATGAACAGCAGACTCTGCCATGGTGGCTAAACAGACTTGAGTTAAAACAGCAGGGCTGGAATAAGGCACGGTGAGGCCCTGTCATGACAATGGCCTTGAACTGTTCCACCTTCATGAGGCCTCACAGCATTACTAAAACTTGAAATATAAGTTTGTTTTTTATTTAAAACTCTTCTAATGACCCGAGGCCTCCACTGTCGTTTCCTTAGCTTGGCATAGATCTGGTGCTGTTGAGTAAACAGAGCATCTGTTCCTATTCAGAGCTGTTTTATGTTGAGTCATACCATCAGTCCAGTACTGTCAACACTGCATCTAGTCCAGTACTGTCAACACTGACTGGCAGCAGCTCTCTAGGATTTCAGGTCTCTCCAGCTCTCATTGCAGATGCAAGGGCTTGAACCAGAGAGCGTTGGTTTGATGCTTTACCTCTGAGCTACCTTCTCCATCTCATTTATTCTCTCTGGCCTGCCCAGAGAAATTATGTTTCTGTAATTCTCATTATGCAACAGCCAACATGGCCATAGGCTGGAGGATTCTGGGATCTATTCTCCAAAAAAGTAGCATCTCCAGCCATTGGAGCGGGTGAAAGTAGTTTTCCCCTTCTTTTTCTTCCTCTGTGAAGCAGGACAGGGTTTGGTCATCTCTGCCATACTGTCCATGGAAAGAAGGATGGGGTTGCTTTCTTGTAGCCCTAGCCAAGCTTGCTGGGCTGAGTTCCCTTCACACTTCCCAGACAGGTATAGGATGAGGCAGATGCCCTGTGGGTAAATGGGTTCATCTGCTAGTATCTTCCATTGCCTCCTTCTCAGTTGTTCTTTCCCTCTGAGCAACACAGCAAACACAAGCTGCATGCACTACATGATCCCTCCTACAGGCAGCAGAGACTGCTCCTTGTAACTGTCAGCTGATCTCCTGGTGGCTGTTTTCTCTCCTTCCTTCTTTACATCTTGATACCTTCAAGAAAGTATGGAAAGGAGAAACGTGGGTCACCTTATAATAATTCAGGGGCCTTCAACAGCACGGGAATGCATTTCTGTTTTCTCTTATCAAAATCACTGCCATTTTTCTATCAGGAGGCCATTTCTTGCTCCTCTTCTGTCCGCACAAGCTAAGAACAGGGTTGCTGTCAGGAAATTCCCAAGACTCTAAATTTTCTATCTCTGCTGCTTCTTATAATTTTAAAAAATTGTATACAGAACTAGCGACAAAATTGCACAGTGTGCAGGGCTTCTGTACAGCTTGGCAGCCAACCAGTTCTCATTTCCACAATTTTTCTGTCTTTCTCTGATGCCTAAAGCGCACTTACCAAAACAACAGGCACTCAGCATTCTGGGGTAGTTTAGCATAATTAATTCTCACTGCACTTTCCTTGTAAAATTATCCCTCTCTTTTCTTTTTTCTTTTTTGTTTTTGTAATCACAGTTCAGTTACATGGCCATCATAATTCAGCACCTGTGGCATAAGTTGTATTTAAAGCTGGTGGAAGAATTTAAAATGACAATAATTATTTGCCACCACTATGTTTTCACTTTTGCAACACTGAATGAGGAACTTGATCTGTGTTGTCTCCAGGAGTGAGACATTGCTTTTGCTGGTCATGGCAGACAGCAGATGAATTGATGTACTCATGAGGGCATCAAACCTATCTGGGACTGCAACATCACAGCAGTGTGGGTCACTGTTGGCACAGGTTGGCCTGCTGGATGTTCATATCTGGCAGTGCCAGTTCCCACGCTGGTCCCAGGAAGAGGCTGGAGCAACGTGTGCTTTTCTAATGTCTGTATTAGAAGACCAGGAAAACTGACAGGAATTTCATTATTTAGCTTGCAAATTACTCCTTTTTTGCTGATGATTTCTAAAATCCATTTTGTTACACAACAAATGGCACTTACCAAACACGACACAAAATACATTATTCGGTAGTGTGGAAAATATATATTGCCCAGTGTGTATATTGAAAAATGCAAATGTACACGCTGTATTCTCCCAGAATTCATTTTAAAAATTCTGGAAGTTCTTGCCTACAGACATACAGCTGCATTTCACTCACCTGGAACAGAGCCCATCTTCCTAGCTATCTCAGGCCTACGTCCTCTACAGAAAGGAAATGTTCTAGTGCTTCCTGGAAAGCCTATATCTATATGGGAGAAACTTCTAGAATTCTCTCTGGGAAATTCTTGGGAAATTCTGGGAGCTGATGCCTCTCCCCAAGAAACAAGAAATGGCAAAACCCAAATGGCACAGCTGCCTTAAGTGGAGTATACTAAGGATACTGTATCATCTCTCATAAAGCCTTCCATGAGAGTTGGCAAACATGTTTCTGGGATAGGCAACGAAACAAAACACCACACAGACTCTGTTGTGGCACACATTTAAGTCTAACTCTGTGAGCTTTGGTGTATTATAATAGTGTTTAAAACATTAAGATAGTTTTTTTTTAAAAAAGTGTGACCACATCTTAAATGAGTACAGTGGACCTTTGACTTACAGACGGCTTGACTTAGAGACTTTTTGAGTTACAGACTTCTCTGGCCGCAAAATTTAGGTTTGACTTGCAGCCTGAGAATTGACTTACAGATGAGAAAAAAACCAAAATGGAACAAAAACGGCCTTTTACGGGATTAATCGGTTTTCAATGCACTGTAGCTCAATGGAGACTTGACCTACAGACTTTTTGACTTGAGAACCGCCTTCCAATACGGATTAAGTTCTCAAGTCAAGACCCCACTGTAGTTGGTTTCCCAAATATATGCCATTTAAGCCATGAAACATGGACACACCAGTTGTAAGTTAAAATAATAATTATATGCCATTAAATAAATTCTGACTGATAGCAACCCTTTCCAAGGCTTTTCAGGTAGCGAATACTCAGAAATGGTTTACTATTCCCTTCATTGGGGGTGCTCTGGGACTATGCCGCTTGCCCAAGGCCACGCAGGCTGGCTCAGGCAGCATAGTGGGGAATCAAAAACCAACCTCTAGTTCCTCAGCCACATACCTAACTCACTGAGCTGTCCAGCCAACTAAATAATAATCATGCGTCGTCAAGTCAATTTGATAGCGAATACTCAGAAATGGTTTACTATTCCCTTCATTGGGGGTGCTCTGGGACTATGCCGCTTGCCCAAGGCCACGCAGGCTGGCTCAGGCAGCATAGTGGGGAATCAAAAACCAACCTCTAGTTCCTCAGCCACATACCTAACTCACTGAGCTGTCCAGCCAACTAAATAATAATCATGTGTCGTCAAGTCAATTTGTCTTAAAGTTACCCTTTTCAGGGTTTTATAGGTAAAGAATACTCAGAAGTGTTTTACCACTCCCTGTTAGTATAACAGAATAAAAATAGAGGACTATCTCTGAGACAAGTATGGTGCAGTGGCATAGCAATCAAATTGTTATCTTGTGGTTCCTAGAAATGCAATTACCATCAGCCGCTACTATTGATTATTCTGGCTATTTAAAAATGGCAAGTCCAGCAACATATGAAGAGCCATCTATTGCCCACTGCTGGTTTATAGCTCCATTGCTGGATGGCACATGGCATGTTTTTTTTTCTCCTTGATAGACGTTCTGATATCCAGATGTTCAGAAGGTGAAGACTTCAGTTTAACTACAACTTCATGAATTTTCATTTGTGCCAGTCCTCCATCTTTTAAAGGTGCTATGACTTGTTGGTGGGACCAAGAAGGTTGGCAATTCTATATGGAGCAAACTCAGGAAAGAAATAATTACTTGGTATATGATGCAAGCCAAGCCACTCTTTTCTCTATTATGTTTAATATGTAAGAATAAAACATGAATAAGTAGACTTGTTAACCAGAGTGGAGTCTGGGATTGCAACATATTTGATTAAATGTGGAGTCAATGGCAAAGTTGTTAAGTCGGCTGTGGTTTTAAGATGAATCATAATAACCAGCAACAGAATTTTCAAACTGTTACATACAGTGCTTTCAGGAAAGCTTTTTTTTATGGCTATGTTTTGAGACCATGAAAGTACACACAGGCAGTCAATATATAAGTGAAGATGTAGGGTGCATCTACACTACATAGTTAATGCA